GAGAGAAACAGACTGACAAACTATAACTTGTATTACATCCAATTTTGCTATTTATAATTCTGTTTTGTAATCCCATAACGGATAGATTTATCATCACTACCAGAAGCTAATATATTTCCATCAGGAGAGAAACAGACTGACATAACATAACTAGTATGACCATCCAATTTGGCTTTTTATTATCCTGTTTTGACATCCCATAGACGGATAGACTTATCATAACTACCAGAAGCTAATGTATTTCCATCAAAAGAGAAGCAGACTGATATTACCCAATGCTAATGACCATCTAATTTGACATTTTATTATCCTGTTTTGACATCCCATAGATGGATAGACTTATCTACGCTACAAGATGCTAATATATTTCCGTCAGGAGAGAAACAAACTTAGTATACATAATGAGTATGACCATCTAATTTAGCTTTTTAATATCCTGTTTTGACATACCATAGACGGATAGACTTATCATCACTACCAGAAGCTAATGTATTTCCATCGGAAGAGAAACAGACTGACATAACATAACTAGTATGACCATCCAATTTGGCTTTTTATTATCCTGTTTTGACATCCCATAGACGGATAGACTTATCATCACTACCAGATGCTAAAGTATTTCCATCAGGAGAGAAACATACTGAGTAGACAGTGCTACTATGACCATCTAACTTGACTATTTATTATCCTGTTTTAAAATCCCATAGACAGATAGACTAATCTACACTACCAGATGCTAATGTATTTCCATCAGGAGAAAAACAGACTGAGTTGACATTATTAGTATGACCATCTAACTTAGCTTTCTATTACCCGGATTTTACATCCCATAGACCGATCGACTTATCATTACTACCAGAGGCTAATGTGTTTCCATCAGGAGAGAAACAGACTGACATAACATAACTATTATGACCTTTCAATTTGGCTTTTTATTAACCTGTTTTGACATCCCATAGACGGATAGAGTTATCATCACTACCAGAAGCTAATGTACTTCCATCATAAGAGAAACAGACTGAGTTGATATTATAAGTATGACCATCTAACTTTGCTTTTTATTATCCTGTTTTGACTTCCCATAGACGAATAGACTTATCATCACTACTAGAGGCTAATGCATTTCCATCAGGAGAGAAACAGATGGACATAACATAACTATTATGACCATCTAGCTTGGCTTTTTGTTATCCTGTTTTGACATCCCATAGACGGATAGAGTTATCTCTACTACCAGAAGCTAATATATTTCCATCAGGAGAAAAACAGACTGAAAGGATTGTATCAGTATGACCATCAAATACGGTTTTTTATGATGCGTTTATGGTGTCCCATAAACGGATAGACTTATCTACACTACCTGAAGCTAATGTATTTCCATCAGGAGAGAAACAGACTGACCAAACTCTATCACTATGACCATCTAACTTTGCTTTTTATTGTCCTGTTTTGACATCCCATAGACGGATAGACTAATCTACACTACCAGATGCTAAAGTATTTCCATCAGGAGAGAAACATACTGAGTAGACAGTGCTACTATGACCATCTAACTTGACTATTTATTATCCTGTTTTGACATTCCATAGACGGATAGACTAATCTATACTACCAGATGCTAATTAATTTCCATCAGGAGAGAAACATACTGAGTAGACAGTGTTAGTATGACCAACTAATTTGGCTTTTTATTATCCTGTTATGAAATCCCATATACGGATCGTCTTATCACTACTACCAGATGCTAAAGTATTTCCATCAGGAGAGAAACATACTGATAAGATTCCACTAGTATGACCATCTAATTTTACTTTTAATTATCCTGTTTTGACATCCCATAGATGGATAGACTTATCATCACTGCAAGATGCTAATGTATTTCCATCAGAAGAGAAGCACACTGATAATATTTCTTTATTATGATCTAATTAGGTTTTTTATTATCCTGTTTTTACATCCCATAAACGGATAGAGTAATCATCACTACCAGAAGCTAATGTATTTCCATCAGGAGAGAAGCAGACTGACCAAACTCTATCACAATGACCATCTAACTTTGCTTTTTATTATCCTGTTTTGACATCCCATAGACGAATAGACTTATCATCACTACTAGAAGCTAATGTATTTCCATTAGGAGAGAAACAGACTGATCTCACACAACTACTATGGCCATCCAATTTATTCAATTCATGTATTTTAATGTTCTTCCATTTACAGTTAAACATCTTAGCTCCATTCAAATTGACTCCGCTTATATTAACATTTTCAAATTCAGATCCACTTAAGCTGCATCTTACAAATTTACCTCCGACTAAAGAAGTATTTTTTATTCTGATATTCTCAAAGGATTGGTTCCTAATATCAACTTTCAATGTAACTAATAAACTAAGTCCATTTGACCCACATTAAATAAATTTCTCATCTATGGTTGTAAGGAGAACTAAAAACTTCAAAAAATCTATGATCCCCTTATTATCCTTCATCCTCTTTATAAGATCCGATCTTTCCTTTTCATAAGTCTCTAAAGAATAGTCATCTTTATTAAATATATTATCCTTAATAATTCTTAGTACATTTGTCATTTTCAGTATTTTATTCTTGACATCCTTTATATTCTCTTGCTTATTCATCAATGATTCATAAAAGTTTTGATTGTTTGTCTTTGATAGGAATCTAATGAGGTCTGTAACTTTCTCTCTTTGAAGTATTTCAAGAATCTTTTTGTATATAGATTCATCAATATCTTGAATTTCAGCCAAGATTTCAAAAAAATCTTCTTTCATTGAATAAACTTCGCTTTCTTCTTCTTCTTTTTCTTAAGATTGAATTCTACAATAATAAATAAATACTAACTTAATTAATGATTAAATCTATTCTATTCCTTCCTTCGACTTTTCAATAAAAGCCTTAATATGATGATCCCACCAGCTCTTTTTCTTATCTAAATCCTCCATATAAAAATTTTTCCAAACATTCCAATCAGATAGGGTTGTTTCTTCAACTATGTTTACTAATTTTTCTAAGTCTGTGTAGGAGGATTCAGCTAGATTAGTATTTTCGTTGATGAGGTTAAAATATGATTAGTTTTCCTGTTCAATCATATCATATACTTGTTAGATAGATTATGAAAATTCTTCCTAAATTTTCTTCATCATTTATTCGGTTTAAGAGATCAAGGTTTTAAAGGCCATTCTCTATTTGGTTAATTCTGATGTACCATCAAGCTTGGGGTCTGTTAATTTCTTGATAGCCATTTCTTGAAATATTTTTATGGGAACAGTATGTTTAAAATCTACTCCATGTACATATTGGCATTCAACACAAAGTTTCCTTTAGAATTCGCACTTATGAGGAGCTTTGCATATCAACGAAATTGGATTTCTAATATGATAAATGCAATTCATTATTTTTAATATTGAATTTCTATTACTCTAACTTGAAGTGATATACTGCAAAATCNTCTATGATTATAATTTAGATAAGCAAGATTTAGTAGAAAATATACAATTAATATACAATTACATCTTAAAATCTAATGTAAAAAGTATTTTGAAAGCAAACTTAATTGAATTAGGAAGATCAAAAACTGATGTAAATATATATTAATTAATAATAATAGTTAACCTACTTATTAAGAAATATTAATCAAGATGAACCAATTCTTAAAGGAGCATTTGAATTGTATTTCTAAACAAAAGATGAAGCAGAATTAAAGGATACTATTAGTCGAATACTCAAATTCAGCAATATTTGATAATTATTATTATATGTACAAAGTTAAACTTATAGATTCATCCTAATTTTTAGGATTCTTCTAAACATTATAAATGTAAAATACATATCATCAAAAAGAATGTTCTCAAATATTAATTGATTGAATGAAAAGAGTTTAATCATATAATAATCTAAAAGATTTAAATCTATTATTTAATATAAGAATAAAAACTAAATTTACATTAATCTTTATAAGTTAATAAGTTTAGTGCATATATTTAATTTAATAATTGATCTGATATTTTAAAGAAGTTGATTATCAAATTAAAAAATGAATATAATTAGATCTTAACTATTGTCTATAGAATTAGAAGAGTAATATATAATTCAGGTTTAAAAATATATCAAAAATTTCATTATTCATAACATTTAAGTATTTAATATTAAGAAGATGAAGAAAAAAGAAATTAAAAATAATTGATAATATTATAAATGATTAATTCTTTGATCACAACATAAGCTTTTTAAAAAATGCAACAAGACTCCCCTTTGAATAGAGAATGCTTTGAATGTGGAGCACCCAATCCAACTTGGGTGAGTTTACCAAACTCTGTATTTCTATGTTTGCCTTGTTCTGGCATACATCGTAGTCTTGGTGTACATGTGTCCTTTGTTCGATCTACAAATTTAGACAGTTGGTCAGACAAACAATTAAAAATGATTATGATGGGTGGAAATGATAAACTAAAAGAATACTTCACTTCTATTGGAGTATATGGTGACCCATCCAAACAACATGACATTTCATGGAAATATAGAACCAAAGGAGCATCCTATTATAGAGAATGTGTAATTAAACAATTCTAAACCTTTAGATCAAAGCAAAGACTGAAGAAAGAGAAGTCCCTGCACCTATTCCAATAGAAGAAGCTCTAGAAGAAGATCCTTAATTGGCAAAATCTAATTCAAATCCTTTACCTAAAAAGGGAGAACAATAATAATAATATTAACCCATGTAGATGAAATAAGAAGAAGATGATCCTCTTGATAAGATGAAGACTTTTTTTACTGTTGGATTCTAAAAAACATCTGAGGCAGCCAAAGAAGCCAAGAAGAAATTAGAAGATAAATATAATGATGAAGAATTTTAATAGAAATTAACATAGTTTAAAACAGATTTCTCTTAGAAAACTAATGAAGTGGCTGTAAACTTGCATTCTTTTTATTTTAGGGTAAAACTAAAGTTGTTGCTGAAAAGAGCTTTGAAACTGTTAAAGAAGGAACTCTATCAGCTTGGAACTTTTTAAAGACTAAATTCAATGATTTACAGAAAAAGGATCCATAACCAGAGCAATTTGAGATTTTAGAACAACCCAAGAATGAATGAAATTCTATAAACTTGTTTAAAAATAATTAATATATTATAATGGCATATTAATCATAATGTAATTCATAAATGAATACTAATCACTCTTTAAAAGCACCAGTTGATTCTCTATTAGGAAGAGTTGTATGCAAAAATTACCTAATCGTTTCCAAAATTAATGAAGGATCATTTGGTAAGGTTTATAAGGCCATTCATTAAATTAAACAAGATTATTATGCAGTCAAAATTGAGGCTTAAGAACATAGATAAAAAAAGGGAGAGACTTTGAGATTGGAAGCAGAAATTCTCAAAAAACTTAATGGTGAAAAAGGAATACCTAGATTATACTATTATATTGAAGATTCAACTTAAAGAGTACTTGTTGAAACCTTATTAGGTATTTCATATAATATTAAATATTTTAGGTAAGAACCTTGATGAATTGTATAGTTTATGCAACCACAAATTCTCTTTGAAAACTATCTTACTCTTTATGGATTAAGCGATTAGTCGATTAGAATATCTTCATTCTTAAGGGGTAAATAATTTAATGAGATAAAGTGCCCTAGTATATACACAGAGACATTAAGCCAGAGAATTTCATGATTGGAATTCCTCCAAATGAAAACCTCATCTATCTTATTGACTTCGGACTCAATGCTCCAATTTATGATTCATAAAAGAGACTGTTGCCAAAATTAAAAGGTTAACCATTAGTTGGAACTGCTCGCTTTACCCCTATTTGTTCTCATTAAGGATATAGTTAAAGCAGAGCAAGTGATTTAGAGTCCTTAGGTTATTTGGCAATATTTTTTTTAAAAGGTTCTCTACCTTGGATGAAGGTTGAAGCCTAAACCAAAGAGGAGCGGTTTAATTTGATAGGATAAAAGAAAATGAGAGAAACTCCAATGTCGTTGTGGTAACGATTGTAAGTAATTTAATTTTAGTTATGGATTACCTCGTGAGTTTGAGGGGTATTTCAATTACATTTTTAATGTCTCTCATGATACTGAACCTTCTTATAATTATTTAAGAAAGTTGTTGAAAGGATTAATGCATAGAATGTAATATAATGATAATGTTTTTGATTGGCAAGAGATAATAAAGAAGGAGGAAGAAAGTAAAAAAAGTTCGAATAAAAAGATAAAATTAAATGCTTAAACTTAATAATTCAAACCTATTGAATCTGAGGATGAATAAGATAGTCCTAAAGTGGCTATGATGTAATCTAAGGATTCTAAGAAAAGCTCATCAAATTTTCTTAAAAGAAGTATCACTGATCAATTGAATTTCTAAAAACAATAAAGTATTAATCAAAGAAATAATATCGAACTCTTAATTTCATAAAATGAATTGCTTAATCTTAGATTAAAATAGAAATTATTATCAAATAATAATAATAATAACACTTAAGAAGAACCTGAAAACTTTGGCTTCGGTATTATGAATGAATATTATCCATATCCTACAATGCAGTAATAAATGGATCAGCTGATTACAATTATTACTAAATTTATTATTAATTAATGAAAAAATCTGCTCCTTAAACTTTAGATTATTAAAATGCGTCCTATAGTATGTAACACTGAAGTAGCTTTCTTTATTCCAACTAATAAAGAAAAAAAGTCTCCATGTGTATTGCAGTTAAATTTTAAATTAGAACGTAAAATGAAAACTAGCTACAAATAAATTAAAAATGCACGCTCAAGATATTAAGAACTATTTTATTAATAGGAAACCAACTAAGATTATTTTTATGATATATTAACAGAAAGAATAGAAAAATATACTCTTCAAAAATAAAAAAAATTAGCAAGTAGAGCAAAATATGCATGTGATTACAGTTTTAGATGGAAATAAAGGCTTTAAGAACGAAACTGGTTAGATATTTATATGAGTAGGTTTGTCAGCTGAAAGAGAATTTTATTCTTAAGAGATGGATTTTTAAGAGTTCAGAAAAGACATCCAAGAAGTAAAAGCTTGGCCTTTTCAAAAGATAGAAATATTAAAAAGACAGAGCCATATACTATCATTAAAAAAAAGAAGAATAATCTTTTGATAAATAGAGAAAATTATATATTATTCCTACCAAAGAGATTTAAAATAAGTATACTTTATTATTTTTATTATTAGATGAAAAGATCTTTTGAAATATCATAACAATTAGATTAAGATGATCATCGAATAATGAAATAGAAAACCTTAGACATAAAGCCAAAATAAAAAGTAACCCAGAAGCATGATGACAATACATTTCTTACATTTGTTTGATATCTAAATTGTATTATTCATTTATTAAATTAAAATACATCATCTTTAATTCTAAATTTTTATCCTTTTTCCTTCTTTATCAAAATTATAATAATTCCTATTAATTATATTAATTAAATACAAAATTTTATTTAAATAAATATCTTCCCATATTCCAATTTTTAATCCATCTACATAAGATCCATAACTTATTACTTAACGACTATTATAAACTTTAATTTATTACTATAATGAATAACACTAATGAGGTTCTATCCATTTTCCAATTTTTTGTCCTTATTCACTAAATGACCCGCCACCACTTTTTATAGAACACAAAATTACATTAATTTGTTCTTCTTTTAAGTTACTATTTGCCAATAATTAATTTTAACTCCATTTAGATATTCTCCTTTCATCATTAATTCACACCTATTTAAATCTAAGACTTACATTCCTGAATATAATGGATGCAACTCTTTCCAAAGTCCAAACTTCTATCCATATTCATCATATAACCCATTACCACTTTAATTTTATTAATAATAATATACATTATTTTATTTTATTATTAGATTTTCCATAATCCATATCTTTTACCATTTTTATAATTTCCTTCAAAAAATATTTCACTTAATATATAAAAATTACTACTTTTAATAATAATCTTTATGAAAATCTATCCAATATTCTTATTTTTCTCCAATTTGATTATACATACATTAACTTTAATAATTAAAATTTAAATTAACAATTACAATAATTAATTTTCTAATTTAAATTTCCATTATAATATTCTAATTCCATTTTAATATTATCCAACCGATATAATTTTCCTTTCATTTAATTATAATTATACTAAACAATATTTATAATCTCTACATCTATCCAATCACCTTACTTTAACCCACTTTTATCATACTTTCCTCCTCCACTATTATTAATTATTTAAAATTAACATTATTGAATTATGAAGAAGGACACTCCATTCACCAACTTTAATATCTTATGTATAAGTGCCTTTTTAGAATACAGGGCAACTAGATTAATGAGAAAATTTACTATTCAGTATAATTTTCAATTGGTTCTACCCAAATTCCATTTTTCTTGAATTCATAAGAATATACCCCTCCACCACTAATAATTTAATTAAATCTTCTACGTAATAAATTCATTATGTAATATAAACCATTTCTCTATTCTCATTCCATTTTTATAGGATCCTTGGAATTAAAATTTTTAACTTTTTATGGAAATTATTCTCTTACAATTTTGAATAATTTTCATCCACTTCTGTCCAAAATTTATCTTTCTATCCATTATCGTTATATTATCCTTAACCACTAATTACTAATATCAATTTACATCTTTTCATTATCTAAAGTCCATTTCCAGTTATTAACTCTCCTACCCTCTTTATAATTACCTTAGTACAATAAGAGAAAACTAATATTTATCATTTATACTCTGAGGTTGTGTTATTTTATACTTCTATCCACATTCCTTATTTTTATCCTTTTTCATTATACTAACCTCCTCCTTCACTAATATTAATTTATTTAGTACATTATTTATTCTCTAAGTAATGTATTCCATATTCCTACTTTGATATCCTCTCTATATTCACCTGAAAATGTTATAAGACTTATCTTTTAAATATTCAATTTTACTTTTTTTCGTAATTCTTATCAGGTTCAATCCATATTCCAACTTTTTGACCACTATAATTATAATCTCCTCCAAACCTAATAATTATAATGAGTCTTTACATTGACTCTCCATTCATAATATAATCCCATTTACCAATTCTAACTCCACCTATTTTATAACCTCTAAAGAAAACATTAGTGGAATTAGC